CATTGTCAGATAGTGATAAATGTTGAATGGAAAGGGTTACTTTGACAAGAAGTGAAATACATGATATTTTAGACTCTGTCAAAAAAGCTTTAAAGAAACTCAAGTATATGAATGCTGATATCCAGCCTTCTATTATTCTCCATTAAATGTGACCAGTACATTTTGACAGGGTGATAATTGGTATCCATAATGACACTGAGGAAGAAAATGAAATACCTAGTTTTTTTATCCAGTTTAATTTGCGGTGCTTTTAAGTTCTAGTCATTTTGAAAATCAATAAGTCTATTATTGATAGGCTCCTACTAACCAGAATGTTTGATTAATTAGAACACCACATTGTGTGATCTTCCTTTTGTCTCCAGTATGCATTTGTGTACATATGCCTTATATCACATAAGCTCATTAATTTAAAAAACAATTCAGGTAAATTAGATCAAACTGGTAGCTTACTTTTAATCTTGAATGTGTTAGTAAAACGTCTGTCAAAGTTTATCTAAAACACATCTTATACTTAGCTTCCAAATGATAGACTGTTAGATAGCTGCCTTGTGTTCTACTTTTCCAAAATGAAAGTATATAGCTTTTGATTCATGAGTACTAATACTGGAGTGGGGGTTGAGGGAGCAGGACTGTTAAAAGACCATGGAATGTTTCCACCAACTTTTTTTTTTTAAGTTTTTATTGTGAATTATGTGATATTTTACATGGGCAAACATTAGCTTTACATTCATCCTGTCTTACTTTGTTTCATTGAGATGATTACAATTCCTTGCATGCATCATCAAACAACCAAAGGGTACACCCTGCAAGCCTGGCCCCTGGCTCTCAACGCACAGACTCTTCTTCCCAGAGTCCCCAGCCGCTCCATCTCTCCACATCATCGTCTCTACCTCCATGTCTGGTGTCACTGCTTCTCTGGATAGGGTCCTGTACTCCGTTCTTCTCCCTTGATGGTCCCAGGGTCCTCTGCTCCTGGACTGCAAGATCAGCCACTCCCTCCTTTTGTTACAAATGTCTACCTTTACCTTTCCAACACTCACAGTCAGTCCCGGTAGCAATCATTCACTATTGAACCACAAGAGTCTTATCCCCATGTCCTTTCACCAGCCCTGTCCAGACAGGTTGGAAACCACCCAGTGAAGATTCTACCTTCCCCTGTACCCTCTGAAATTAGGCTCTCTCTTGAAAGCTTGTAAGCCAGTCTCTTGTTGCCTTTGTAGGCCCCCCCGCCATTTGGGGTACAAAATATCTAAGTTGCCCAAACCCTGTCAACCCAGTATACCAAGGGGTTCACTAACTTTTTGAAGTCCTCTGGTACATTTGGTATTAATATGTTCATTTACCAAGAAAGTACATACAAATAAGATTATATATATATATGTAGGCTACCACATCCTTTGAGTATCCTCTGCTAGGCTCGTATGGTCTATGGATAGTGTGTCACCAAATACTCCAACACATAGCTCCAAATTATGAAGCGCAAGGTTTCTAGATAATGTTTTAAAAATGGTTGTAGTCTAGAGATTTATCCAAGTCGATTATCAGCTCTTACTGTGCATCAGTATACAGCAGCAGCCTTCATAACTGTTCAGAGAGCAGAAAATGCCCAGAGATACTGAAAGTCGTCCTGAGGTTAAAGGACCATACATTTACAATAATAGGTTAGTTTTAGGATAGTAGGATGGGGATGGAGGACAGGCAAAGGTGTATGGGCACGAAGACCCTGGCAAAAGTACCAGAAAGTCTAGCTGGAGAAGAACAGGGATAATGTTTAAGAGATGATAGATCAAACAGTTAAAATTTCAGATGTAGACCAGTTCTGGATTGTAGGTTCTTAGCAGTAGGGTTTCTGAATGGAATAACGTGGAGGTTGTAGGTTGTTAAAGGAGCTTTGACCCTAAATGTGTGAACTTGTGAATATTGAAAAGGTAAAGCAAATGACTATAAGGGGGCTTCAAAAAGTTTATGCAAAAGTAGAATTAAAAAATAACGAACCTTTCTCACAAACTTTTTGAAGTCAACTTGTATTAGCCAGGTGCCAGAGTTGTTAGCAAGTGCCCAACTCATCACCATGACAACCTCAGAAAGGAAGGCATTGTGATGAGGCCTTTACCACTCCCCACCCTCTGATGTTGGCCCAAGTAGCATGCCATATAGGCTTTGGTGTATAAAATTAGGTGTCACTCATTGCTAGGTGGAAGCATGTGTAGCTTAAGTGTTTACTCCACCTACCTAGACCATATTTGCTTGTATAGTTCAGGGACAGTGATTACAGTCTACAAGTTGTGCAGCCATTCTCACCCTTCTGTTTTGAATTGTTCCTCCCCTATTAGCATAAAGTTCACTGTCCTCGAAGCTTCCTTCTAAACTAACTTTTTGAATTGTTCTTGTCAGTTTGATCCCATGTAGTTTATTATTTTTTCTTAAAGAACTCAATTCTCAGGGTAGACATTCTATACTAATTAGCTAAATTGTTTTTATGATTTCAGGGGATATTTTTGGTTTGAGATTTAAAAACTATCTCAGGACAGTAGTTTCAGGGGCTGGTCTGGCCTTAGTGACACTTTCATAAAGTCTGGATTCCATGAGAATTTGAAATCTGATCTGCATTTCCCCCTTTTGATCAGGATTCTTCTATAGAATCTTTCATCAAAATGTTTAGTAATGATAGCCAAGGCCAGGTAAGCCATGTGTGCAAGAGTTCTCTATTGTTACCAGGACAGTTTCCAAAAGCTAGTGGGGACCGGCCTGTCATGTAACTCCACTGTAGAAGAGCGCACATAGATTAGTTTCCATCTGATCAGCTTCTGAGCCATGGAGCACTGTTTGCCTGTTGTATGCTGTCTTCTTTTTTATGCCTAATAAAAGCTACTTTCCATGTGCTAGTGTGGATGGCTCTGATCAAAAGAGCATGATATTCATGGAGCAGTCACACTTGGTGATTGGTTCCCTTTTTCTAATGGTCTCCTGGCTATTTAGCAGTGACCTGTGAATAGGTCAACTGTGTGAGGTCACAATTTTGAGTACCTCACACAGTTTTGGTGTGTTGTCTTAAAGGGCAATAGAAAACGAAAAGGCATAGAAGGTAGGTCTACAAGCTCTGGAAGAGTAGTTTTTCCTAAGATGGGTGAGGATAGGGGTAAGAGACCTGGAAGCTGTGGTTTTAAGGAAAGCTGTCTTTAAATCAGGGAGTGGAGGGACCTTTCTGTGACCATCGTGAGCATGTAGAAGGTTGTGAAACAAGGCTCCACAGGGCAGAGTTAAAAGAGTTGAGTGGGAATTTGGGAATGGAATGATGGGTCATTGGGGGGGAGGAAGCTCAGAGCTGTGAGGATGACAGAAGATGTATGGATGGGGGGGATGTGAAAAGAAGAAAATTGTGTCAAAAATGGAGTAATAGACTGAATGGTTATCTAATTAAAATTATACTATCTAAGCTTCATTTCTCTGAAAGGCACACATATGGTTTAATTTCCTTAAAAAATGCGTTTACATTTTAAATATATAGGTAATAGGAGATCATTGTTTCTTTAAAATAAGGCTAATGAGATGTATGTAGAAGATGCCTCAAAATTTCCTGAAATTCCACTACCCGGGGACATAATCCTGGCATATTTTGTTAAATGCCATCAAGTCTGTTCTGACACTTGGCTGGAACAGAAAGCCTCATCTTTCTCTCATGGAATGGCTGGTGAGCTTGAACCGCGGGCCTTGTGGTTCGCAGTCCAGTGCTTATTGTATGGAGCCCCACCGCACTTCCATACTGATATATTGTTGTTGTTGTTAAGTGCCGTTGAGTTGGTTCTGACTCATAGTGACCCCACATAATGATTCCAAGGCTTTACATCTTCCTGGGAGCAGAAAGCCTCACTTTTTTCCCACGGAGTATCAGACAGCCTCGAACTGTGGACCTTGTGGTTTGAAGTCCAGTGGGTATCGTATGGAGCCATTGCACTTCCCATACTGACATATTGTTAAGAACCATGGAGTCAGTTTTGACTCATAGTGACCCTGTATAGGGTTTCCAAGGAGCGACTGACTGGTGAGTTTAAACTGCTGACCTTGCAGTTAAAGCTGACCTTATGTTCGAGTGCTTATCCTACAGCACCACACCAGGAGTCCTGTATAGATTCTCATGTGTACATATACTCAGTATACTGCAGTGGACTGCTGGTTTTCCCCATATGTTGTTAAGTAACGTGGTTCCGATTCATAGTGACCCTGCACAGGGTTTCCGAGGCTATGAATCTTTATGGGAGCAGAATGCCTCATCTTTCTCCTGCGGAACCACTGGTAGTTTTGAACTGCCGACCTTGAGGTTAGCAGCCCGATTTGTAACCTGTAGCATCTCATAAATAATCCTTTTTCAGAGTAGATAGACTATTACCATTTTTAATAATTAAAATCACTATAGTACTGTACTTAATAGGCTATTGACTATTTTGAATACTCTGCAAGTTTTTATTAAAAATAAGACTATCAAGATAAGTATTGTATGTACAACTTTGTGTATTTATCTGATTATTTTCTTTGCATAAATTTCTAGGAGTTTCCAAGGCCAAGAATGTATTTTTGATTTAATTCCTTTTTTATATCAATTTAGTATTTGACTGTGGACCCATTTTGTGATGGTAGTTTGGAGACATGTTTAAATATATTTGATGAGCAGTGCAAAGGTGTTTGTAAGTTAATTTGCTATTGTTTGATAAAGATTTTTCCCGTAGTGGTGGTGGTTAAATGCCATCAAGTCAGTTTTGACTCATTGCAACCCTGTGTAGGGTTTCTATGGAGCAGCTCTGGTGGGTTTGAACTGTCAACTGCCCAAAACAATAGCCTGCGTATCTTTATGTTGTGTTCTCAAGGATTTGTGCATGTAGGACTTCAGCTATGGAAATAGATAATTACAAAAATTGTTTTAAGTTCCTTAAGTTAGTAATATCTTTAGAATGCATGGAAATGATTAACACCATTTTCTTTGATTACTTTTTTCCAGAACATTCATGGCAGGGGACGTGGAAGGATTCTGTTCCTCCATTCATGACACCAGTGTCTCTGCTGGATTCAGAGCACTGTATGAGGAGGGATTACTTCTTGATGTCACTTTGGTTATAGAAGATCATCAGTTCCAGGCCCATAAAGCACTGCTGGCCACCCAAAGTGACTACTTCAGGATTATGTTTACTGCCGACATGAGAGAGCGAGATCAGGACAAAATTCATTTAAAAGGTCTAACAGCTACTGGCTTTAGCCACGTCCTTCAGTTTATGTACTACGGAACTATAGAACTGAGTATGAATACTGTTCATGAGATTCTTCAGGCTGCCATGTATGTGCAACTTATAGAAGTGGTGAAGTTCTGCTGCTCTTTTTTATTAGCGAAAATCTGCTTAGAAAATTGTGCAGAAATTATGAGACTCTTAGATGATTTCGGTGTAAACATCGAGGGAGTCAGGGAGAAGTTGGACGCTTTTCTGCTAGACAACTTTGTGCCACTCATGTCCAGACCTGACTTCCTGTCCTATTTGAGTTTTGAGAAGCTTATGTCTTATTTGGATAATGACCACCTGAGCAGGTTTCCAGAGATAGAGCTGTACGAGGCTGTGCAGTCTTGGCTGCGACATGATAGAAGACGCTGGAGACATACCGATACCATCATTCAGAACATCAGGTTTTGTTTGATGACTCCATCCAGTGTTTTTGAGAAGGTTGGTGCATTTGAAAGCAATAGATAGGATTCATCATTTAGTTAAAGACAGTATATCTATAGATTAGATTCTCATATTGATCAAGATCCTAACAGGGAATAAGCAGTTTATATATAAGAAGCCTAATTTGTTGTAGTTTGTACATTTAGGTTTTGTAAAACACATTTTGCAGGTGAAAGGTGAACCAGGTAGGTAGTAGAGTAGTTTCACTTTTAAAGTACTGTTAAAGTTTAAGGATAATGAACATAATCCAAACTATTACAAGTTGCTTTAGCTTTTCTGTCTGTTCACAAAGTAATTAATAATTAAATCTCAACTGGGTCAGACTAGCACTCTTTTTAAAAATTAATTTAAATAATACATGCTGAAATTGGAGTTGAGAAGAATTTTATAGTTCTGAATGATGTATTAATACAGTTTCTAATTCCTCTAAAATATAGTAAGGATACACAAAATAGCTCTTTAAAACCAAATAGGCATCAGTGGTGATTTTCTTTCCTATCTCACCTAGTTCTCTTTTCCCCTCTGTTTGTGAATACTGAATTTGTACGTGAAAACATTTTATATGTCCAAGAACAGCATTTTGACATTGCTAAACATGTAGGCTATAATTCTTCTATCTGTAGTGATCAGACTTCCCTGTGCACATTTTACTATTTTGTGCTCTCTTAAAAAATAGACTTTCTCCAAAATAGTCTTGATCTTTTTGCATGTAAGCATTTTCATTTGTCAGAGTCTCACTTGTGATCTTTTCTTGCCCAAAGGAGAGAAAGCAGTTTCAGTAATTGCTGAACTTAATTGGTTTCTAATCACATGGTTACCTCTGGGGCTCTGTTTACCTCTTACATCGTCTTTCTAGAAAGCACGCTTTGGGTTGACACCCTTCATGTGAAACAGTTCTTCAGCTTTAGTTTCATGATTAAAAATATAGTATCTACAAAGGAGGGTTGTTTACACCATTTGAAAAATAAACAAATTTGCGCCTTTGAATAACACACAGCAGCCTTTCATGGTTTATTTTTCTCTCTGAAATGCTGTGAAATGTCATTAACTTACACTTTTAATAGAGAACTCAATCTTAAGGGGTTTTATCTTTATTCTCAGAATGTATTGAGATGGCAAAGTAATTAAAACTAAATAGAATACATTTCTTAATTATTATTTGTTTAGTGATAATCAGCCCCACATCAACTATGTAAATAATTTGTCTGATATTTTTATTTTTTTCCCCCTTTTATTGTTTTTTCCCCTGGGGAGTCCTGTTTTGTCTTTATCACATTAAACACATATGCTTCCCACTACTCAAACAACCAAAAACCCTGCATCATCCCTCTAGATGGAAGTACTTGTGGAAAGAAAATGAAATTTCCCCTCTTGTAGGACAATGGGGTAGATAATTACTAGTAGTAAATGATTTTTAAGTGCAGAGCCCTTTTATATTCTTGTTAGCAGATCAAGGTAGCCAATAGTGACAGTGACTGAAAGTTAATATTGTTGAGTAATTTGTAAATCATAACATTTTGCATGTACAGCATCAGAGGTAGTTATTAACCCCATGGCTGGGTATTGTAGGAGTGTAATCAACATTTGTAGATTGCAAATGTTGCTAATTTTGTAATTTTTCAGTGTTTTCTAATGCAAACCTTTCCGTTTTTAGTGTTCTTATTTAGGATAAATGGAAGGTAGTCAGTGGTTCTTCCTTTAGCATTATGTGAGATTTTTAATGTTTATCAATTAAAGGGGAACCCATGACTTTCTAAATACTGAGAAACACTGAGTCGGGCAGATTTAAGACTTACCTTATGGATTATCTCTAGAAACAAAACTAAAAAGGAAGTTTTGGTTGGGAAATAAGAGAGAATTTAGACTGTTTTAAACCAGATTGTTTTGAGCTCTTTGAAACTAGGCCCCCCTTTTTTTCTGTACCCAGCACACTGCAGGTCTCAAACAAGGACATTTTAGCATCTCTTACATATGCACAACACCAGAGGGGTACACAATCATGTTTTAGAGAATCTACAGGGAAAAAAGTGTAAGCAGTTTTGATTTGTTTTATCATATGTGCTGAATTTTAGAAAAATGGAAAATGTGTTCTTCCATTTAGCTTTACATTTTCTGTAACTTTCTATTATGAAAACAGAAAAACGTGTGATTTTTCTATCTCACTGCATGCATATTCAGAGTTATGAATGAACTCATTTCCTGAACTTCTAGAAAAGCACTGTGCAATAGAAATACAATCTGAGCTACAAATGTGAATCAAAGATGTAATTTATATCCTTTGTAAATCACATCTTTGTAAACAGAAAAAAGTCTGAAAGAAGAGTGGATCACCCATAAAACTTGCTGAAAGTTCATAGTTGTTAACATTTTGCCCTGTTGGTTTTAGCTGGCTAGAGGGCGGATGTGCCTGTTGTGGAATTTTTTTGTGTTGTTTTCTGCTAAACCATTTCAAAGAAAGTTGTAGACATTAAAGTAGTTCATTTCTAAATACTTCAGCAAGCATCTAGTCTTCCAAGATAAAGGATTCACCTACATAACCATAATGCTATCATTATACCAAAGAGCATGAATGATTTCTGTACTATGTCATGTAATATCTAGTTCATTAGCTCTTTTCATCTGAAACAGTATTTAATCAAGGTTCACACAGTACATTTGGCATTATATCTCTTTTATTAGAATTCTCTCCTTTTCTCCATTTATAATGAGGATGTTTACACATTAAAAAAAAAAGGTTGAAACAGTAGTATAATAAAAAACCTGGATTAGCACCTAGATTCAAGAACTGTTAAGACATTTTGCCATATTTGTTTTATATAGTTTTTTCTGTGCTGAATCTTTGAAAATAAGTTGTAAACATAGCACTTCACCCCTAAATATTTAAGTATGCCACTCCTAAGAATAAGGATTTAAAAAAAATCTAGCTATAATACCATTCTACCTAGGAAAATTAACGCTGATATCATCTAAATGTTGTTGTTAGGTGCCAAAGAGTTGATTTTGACTCATAGCAATCCTATGTACAACAAAACAAAATACAAGTGGTGCCACATTGCTGAGGGTCTTCTTTTTTTTTTTTAACTTTTCCCTTCAGGGATGTGACCCTCCTGATTACATGTCCAAAGTATGAGAGATGAAGTCTCACCTTCCTTGCTTCTAAGGATCATTCTGGCAGTACTTCTTCCAACATAGCAGTGCCCAGGGTATATTCGATAGTCTCAGTTTTCCTTATTGTCAAGCTTCATATACATATGGGGCAATTGAAATACCATGATTTGGGTCAGGTGTACTTAGTCCACAAAGTGACATCTTTGCTTCGTAATACTTGGAGCAAATTTGCCCTTTGATTTATCAACTGCTGCTTCCGTGGGCACTTAACTGTGGATCCAAGTAAAATGAAATCCTTGTCAACGTCAATCTCTTCTCTGTTTATCATGTTGTTGCTTGCTGGTCCAGTTGTGAGGATTTTTGTTTTCCGTATGTTGAAGTGTAATCCATAACTGAAGGCTGTATGTAGTCTTTGATCTTCATCAGTAAATGCTTCAAATCTTCATGTTTTATTATTGCTATATGAGATAATTTAGGAGTTTTAGGAACAGTTACAGGAAAAGTATTGTAATGCTAGAGGAAAACCACTTACTGATTCTTTAATTGAATTAGAAATCAGTTTTTTAAAATTACAAAGCTACTGTCATGACTAAAATCAAGAGTTTTACTTACTTTCTGTCAGGATTCTTTCTGATTCATAAAATTTTCTTTCCTCCTTTTATTTAGAGCCCCTCTATTTCAATTTACTGGGATTAAAGGTAGCTAAAATATCAGAATTAAAAGATTATTTCTTATAATAAATTAGTGTGTCTCTATGACTCCAGAATATTCTTATATAATACAGTTGTCACTTGGCTATAGAACTCTTGATATGTGACGAGTCTGAATTGAGATTTTAGACTTAATGAGACACAAAGGATATAAATTACATCTTTGATTCACATTTGTAGCTCAGATTATATTTCTGTTGCACAGTGCTGTTCTAGAAGTTCAGGAAATGAGCTCTTTCGTAACTCTGAATATGCATGCAGTAAACAGTCTTTCTTATGTATTTAACCCCTCTCCTGGATTCCCAGCTTTTAGAAGTGTTACACAGAGTTAGTGTTAAGTGAACTGAACTATTTGTATGGAGTTGCTGAGGAAGATAACTGTTATTTGGGTATAGTTTCTCTTAGGAAAAAGAAAAGCTTCTATACAATTGGTGAAGGATCCCATAGAAGTTTTAGTTCTTCCTTTGGTGTAGTAATGGCCAGAGCGGAGCAGTAGGTTCATAGTAAGGCTAAAGTAGAACCCCAGCTGGTTCCAGTGACCTCTGAAGCATTGTTCTTTCTCTGCTGAAACCTTTTTAAAAATTCTTTTTGCAGTGTCTTTGCTCCTAGTCCTCTACTAAGTATTTTCCCCAATTGAAAGCAGGTTGTCTTACTATGTGTACAGAGTACTCTCTGGAACCATCACCAAAGAGGTTTCTTTACTGAGTTCCTAAGAGGCAATGATCTATATATCTGAACAATATATAAACGCACTGACAGCAAGTTAATTCTGACTCATAGCAACCTTACATACAGGGTTTCTGAGACTGTAAATCTTTATGGGATCAGACAGCCTCATCTTTCTCCCACAGAACTGCCGGAGGGTTTGAATCAATGAGCTTGCTCCATATGCATATATAGAGTGAGCGAGAACACTTAACATATGATCCCCATTTTATAGATGAGAAAACAGGGTTCAGAAATACTAGGAATCTTTTTCCAAAACAAGTGGCATTGCACAGACCGGGACCCATATCTGCTAGTTTCCCAGATGAGGAACTTCCCCCATTAAAGCTGCTAGAGTGGAGAGAGGACTCTAAAGTGCAGGAAGCATGCACCCTGGGCTGTTTGCAGTTAAGAGAGTTGTGATAGTTCTAATACGTTTGCATGAGGGTTATAGCATGTTTATGAAGGAAACAT